TACAGCTATTATTGGAATATATGACTCAGACAGAGAAACAGCTGATTTTAAAAACAGCAGGGAACCTTGCTGAAGATCATGATAAGATTGCAGGAGGGGACATTAAGGTATATTTCCCTCTCCAAGACCCAAAGTGGGATGTTAATAGATCTGCACATATGGAAAGATTGCAGGGGTATCAGGAGTGGATTACAAAAGGAATGGAGAGAGCGATCCCCAAAACTATAAATTGGTCAGCATCATATGCAGTTAAACAGAGTCCTTCCGAGCCTCCATCCGAATTCCTGGATCGACTGAGGGATGTAATGCACCGCAGCACACCGCTGGATCCTGGGTCAGAGGTAGGAATACAACAATTAGTCTCCCTGTTTTTGGGTCAGTCTACAGGGGATATAAGGCGCAAACTTCAGAAATTACGCCCTACAGAGAGTAGGAATTTAGAAATATTGTTGGATGAAGCATGGAGAGTATTTAGTAACAGAGAAGAAGGATATAGGCAAGGGCAAAGGAAATTAATGGCTGTTATTCAGGAAGAAAGAGGAAGAGGGCCCAGAAGAGACTTGTCCCGACTGGGCAAGGATCAATGTGCTTTGTGTAAGAAATTCGGTCATTGGAAAAGGGAATGCCCAAGGAACAAGGAGGATGAGAGGGCTCAAACAGGAAGAACGGTAGCCCCTGTGAAGGGAGACTGACGGGAACCTGGGGAATCTACCCTAGCGGATCCACTGGTTATAATTAAGCTAGGGAAAACACAACAAGAGGTAGAATTTTTGGTAGATACAGGAGCAACATACTCGGTTTTGAATCAGGCTTTGATGCCCCTGGGAAACGATTATGTCATGGTGAAAGGAGCGACTGGCCAAAGTGAAAAGGCATATTTTTGTAAACCTTTAGAATATAAATTAGGAAAACAGTGGGGCATTCATAAATTTTTATATATGCCCAACTCCCCAAAGCCACTTCTGGAAAGGGACTTGTTGGAACAATTGGGAGCCAAAATTGTATTCAAAAAGGGAGAAATTACTCTGGAGGTAAAAGATCAGCAATATCTTCAAATATTGAGCCTAACCTTAACCAGTCTCCCCTTAGAAGGAAATATTAACGAGGACATCTTAAACCAAGTGCACCCGGGGGTATGGGCTACCAATGCACTCGGAAGAGCGAAAAGTGCTCCACCTGTTGAAGTTAGGATCAAGGAAGGCCAAAAGCCGGTAAGAATTAAACAATATCCCCTAAAGAAGGAAGACAAAGGAGGAATCCGGCCGGTGATAGAAAAATTTTTGCAGTTGGGATTATTAAAAGAGTGTGAGTCTGAATTCAATACCCCTATATTACCTGTTGGGAAGCCCTATGGGTCGTATCGGGTGGTCCAAGACTTACACGTGGTGAATAAGATAACTGAAGATCTTTACCCGGTAGTGGCGAATCTGTATACCCTGTTTACCATATTAACACCTGAATTGACTTGGTTTACTGTTTTAGATTTGAAGGATGCTTTCTTTTGCCTCCCTCTCCATGAAGCCAGCCAAAAATTATTTGCATTTGAATGGGAAAACCCCAAGAGTGGCCAAAAGACCCAGCTCACTTGGACGGTGTTGCCGCAAGGATTTAAGAATAGTCCTACCATTTTTGGCAATCAGCTTGCGAAAGACTTAGAATCCTGGGAAGCCCCATCTGAGGAGGGGAAGCTGTTGCAGTATGTGGATGATATCCTGATCGCCACCAAAACAGAGAAAGATTGTATGACATGGACGGTGAGTCTGTTGAATTTCCTGGGACTCCGGGGGTACCGGATATCCAAGAAAAAGGCACAGGTCGTACAACGCAAAGTGAATTATTTGGGCTATGAAATTAGTGTGGGACAAAGAACTTTGGGACAGGCCCGTAAAGAGGCAATATGTCAAACTCGGAGACCTCAGACAGTAAAAGAGTTATGGACTTTTCTGGGAATGACAGGGTGGTGCCGATTGTGGATCTATAATTATGGATTGCTTGTTAAACCACTGTATGCGTTGACAGCCACTGAGCAGAAACACCTTGAGTGGAATAAGGAGACCGAACGAGCCTTTGAGCTACTGAAAAAGGCTTTGATGTCGGCCCCGGCCTTAGGACTCCCAGATGTGAGTAAGCCGTTTCTTCTTTACTCTCATGAGAAGCAGGGCATTGCCCTGGGAATATTAGAACAAAACCTGGGCCCATATCGACGGGCAGTTGCCTACCTCTCTAAGCAGTTAGACACGACTGCAAAAGGTTGGCCTGGATGCCTGCGGGCGGTTGCGGCCGTGATACTGAATATACAGGAAGCC